TTTAGATGAAACAGTCCAATGTATAGTCATAGTGTAAGGTACACATACAAACTAGTGATGAGGGTCAGTATCTTGCCGTCATAGTCGGCTAGATAAGGAGGTCAAGTTTTGGTAGAATTAGGTTAGGTTAGTTGCGTATCCTTTACAGGACGTTGCAGAACCAAACCCAACAGCCCCTGGCTGTTGTGCGGTTTTTCTAGGCATATTTTTATCCAGTAGTTTGCCATTGCTTTCTTTTGGAAGAATACAACAGGTCAAGACAGCCCCAGTGGTGTAGCGGCTAAATGCTCACCTGCGGTCCTGGCCGAGCCAGACTTTTTAAAAAATGACATTGACTCTTAGATTCACCCAACTTTGAGTGGACACTAGGTGCAGTCCTAGGAAGTGAAGGAGGCCGTTGTGGTGCTGACCACATCCTCCACCAAGTGCCGAAAAGTCTATAATATATAGGTCTAGCCTTTTATGCCCATGGCGTTGAAATAGGTCCTTTAATTTACTTTACAACATGTCAGAGGCTATCCATAATTTGTCGTTCTTGTATGTGTGTGACACAGTGTCATTCTTGTCTGACAATCCCCAAAGTGACTGACTCTCGGTTGAAATGATGAATTGACCAAAAGATTTGTCCCTCTGTTTTAAACTGTTATGGTATCGTGTGAGCACCATCATTTGCCGGTGTATATTTTTAAACGTATTTTCCGTGTCATATAAACAATACCTGCTCCGTTCACAGTCGCCATTTTGCATGACTGTAGATCTCATCAGACAGATATTTTATCTAAACCCTACACTGTTTTGCTAACAACAGGGTGGAGGACGAGCGGTCTGACTCGGAAGGAAGCATCAAGCCCAGAAATGGCACAATACTAGAATTTAGTCACGAAAGTGACGCAAATAACCCAGACTACAAATATAGGCGGAGACTGTTAAGAGCCTCGGCTAGCTAGCAGCAGTGTGAAAGTGGTCGACCTTTTCATGTTTTTTCTCAAAAGTACTAGGACGGGACTACACAGTTTTGCAAGGCTGCCAGATCTAACAGAGATTACGCCGTTGTCAAACGTCCTACTCCACGCATAATTTTTCTGGACTGAGATGCCTATATTATCATAATAGATTTCATTCGCCAATGAATTTTCTAGAGGTCACACTTCTATGATCAAAGACAGAATAACAGAAATCTGCCTCTCTTTGGTAAATGTTCAAAGTGGGGTGACGATCTTTAAACTGACATTTCGACACGTGTTAGTCTTTACCGTGATGCCACACGCTTCACACTCTTGACATCCGTAACAAAAATATTTACAAGTTATAAGACAATGACATGGCGACTATAAATATGTCACACTCTTAATGTTTTCAGTGTCGGCTCTGTGGCTAAGTCGATGCGAAAGCTTCATAATGCCGAGATGCCGGCTTCGATCCCAGCTGCGGGCCATGCGCCTTGCGTTTTCTTCGACAGTGGTATCAAGAAAGCCGACCGTCCAGAGAGCAATGGCAAACTACTGGACGTAAATTTGCCTAGAAAACCCACACAACAGCCAAGAGCTGTTGGAGCTGGTTCTGCAACGTCCTGTAAAGGATACGCAACTAACTAACCTGAATGTTTTCAGTTGACGCCCCTTGGAGTGACGACAGCAGAGAACGAGCTGGGATAGAGACAATACTAAGCGACATCAAGAGGCAACAGGTCAGACTGGTTCAGACATGTGTTAACGCTCCAACAGATAGTGATTCACAGAGGGTCCTGTCCCTTAGACACGATGTAAGCAGATCTCGAGGTCCACCAAGTAAACCATGGATAGATGGTATAACCGAGGCCGTTAATACCAGCATCTACGTAGCTCCCCGTGTGGGTTCCGGGGCCCTACTACGTGAAAAAACAAGAATATACCCACTTCCTACCCAAAAGCATGTCGTAAGAGTCGACTAATTGGGAGCTTCCTTTGAAGTCGGAGTGCATCTGCCTGAAAGGCAAGGAACCAACAGTTTGCATACAGATCTGTCAAACGGATGCACACGCACCACTCAGTCCAGAAGTGGACGAATAACCAGAACTTTCCGACGGAGTTTACAGTTTCTACCCCCCCCCCTCCCCCTCCCCCTCACCCGGTGCCCCTTTTTTTCGACCCCACCCTTCACCATTGCTTCTTGAAATATAGTCCTTGCAATCGAATTATTTCCCACCATGTGTCCGAACCAAATTTGCTAGCAATGTTTTACCACAGCTAGTAGAGGCTCCTGATGTCCCGAAATTTGTTAGTTTTATGTTGCAAATAGCTAATTCGTAGGATTCTTCTATAGCATTTAAGTTCAAAAGTCGGTGCTTTATTAATATCCTAAACCCTAGATGACGTTACAGGGCAGTCCAACATTTTAGAGGGTGGTAAGACTGGGTTTCTCAGCTTTCTGATGCTTTTAACGACCCCAAAACATCTAGAACTAGCCCTTACCCCAACCCAGCTACACCCCACGACTGCATGCAGCCTAGGTCCCTGAAATAATAGACTGTCTCGTAACCTGTGGATTTCCCCTATTTGGGGTAGGATATTAATAAAGCAGCCAAAAGCCTGAATCCTCCAGTTCGTGTCCGCAGTTAGAGGCAAACTCTCACATCCATACCCGTATAAGAAGAGAGACAATAATAGTTCTTTTGCTTATTCTTCACCTTTCGTTTGCTTAAAATAGATTATCTATATCTGCAATGTTGTCTCTAGTAAGAACTTCACTGTCTTTTGTAATTCACTCAGCGACCGGTAAAGTTTGGCTTTAACTGGTGTTTTTCTTGGGCAAAAGTTTTGCCTTGATTTGTTGTATGTGGGATGTCTTGGGGGACGTGGTCTATACCAATACTAGTGATTTGTATTTATTGGCCTTTATATATATATATGCTGTACATCCTTCTTAGGACGTTATTTTTTGTTATTTGAAGCCCCACTCTGGCTTTTGCCAGGGGCCGCAATATAGGCAGGTCATCATTATGGCCAAATGTCTGAACGCGGTTTCTGGGACCTCTCCACGGTGATCCTCATCCGCATGGTGGCACTTTGTGTCATCGGGTGTTTATCGCTTGTGTGATGTCCTGGTGGGGTAAAAAGCCAATCCAGCCAATTGGCCTTTATTTCTATGCTCAGTTTGCTCTTCCACATTGTATTCAGCTGGAACATCGCAGCTGTTCCCATATCAGGTCTTGTCCTGAGCGGCTGCGTGGTCTCGCGGCATTGTGAACGTCTCGAGTGCTAGAGGTTCAGGGTTCAATCACCTGCAAGGGCTGGGATTTTTTCACGTGCACCTGGACTTCTAGTAACTCCCCCGGTCTCTGGGTAGTGAGATCTGACGCACGCCTGTATTGTTGCGAAAGTAAAATATCCCTTGGTCGTTAAAAATCGAAAAGAGTAGCCTAACGACACTTCAAGAACAAAAATTTAAAGTTAAAAATCTACCCAAAGTATTTCAGGATCCTCGCCGGTGCTACAGAACCTGTGCACTGTGCTGAGCTTCTCTGGACTCAGCCTTGAGTTAGAAGAAGAACGGAGCACTTATGGGTTACTCCCCTTGTGCTATGACGTTGATCCGTTGTTTACACCTCATACCTGAAGTCTTGTCCTTACCTCTTTTACACAGCTGACATCGTTACATGTTTGGCTGCCGACGTGTTTTAAGGTTTTTACGTCTCGTATTTTTTTAATTTTTATTTGTTATCAGTTTGTGGTAGTAGGTAGTTGACTGTTGTGGCTAATTACCAGTAGATTGATTTAATTGTTGTGCCATATTGATTGATTTGCCCCTTTCCGTGTTTCCAAATGATAGTGTTATACTGCGCTTATTTATTAAAATAGTTACTTCTCGTCCTTTTTAGAATGAATTTTTCGTTATTTGAAGCCCTGCTCTGGCTCTTGCCAGGGGCCGCAATATAGCCTGGTCATAAATGTTGCCTAAAGGCTGAACGCGGTTTCTGGGACCTCTCCACGGTGATCCTCACCCGCATGGTGGCACATTGTGTCATCGGGTGTTTATCGCTTGTGTGATGTCCTGATGGGGTAGAAAGTCAGTCAGTCGACTGCGCTATGAGGAGGCATGGGACTATAACTTATTAACTCTGTCTCCATGCGGACGAATTGTTCGTCTTTTGAAGCCCCACTCTGGTTGTTGCCGGGGGCCCTAATATAACCTGACGGTTGAACGGGGTTTCTGGAACCTCTTCATGGGTGATCCTCATCCGAATGTTGGTACTTTGTTTCATCGGTTGTCTATCGCTTTGCGTGATGTCTTGGTGGGGTGAAATGTCAGTCAGGCATGGGACTCACAGCCCAAGGCAATGGCGAGTGTGACTAGCAAGACCCGCTCGCGCTAGAAACGTCTCCACAATTACAACATGTGATTTTCTGTCAATATTTGTGTTTACTCTGTCTCTTCTCAGACGCTCAGCTCTCATCCTTTTCTGTAATCATTTCATTCTTTATTCTCAATTCCTTGCCTATGTGCCCCCTCCAGACAACACGATCCATGACATTTTGTTTCCTTGAGTCCACCACAATAGGTGTATCATTCATGTCCCGCTTGCAAAATCTTTTTATTATAGTAGAGGTCGGTCTGGATATCTTTTACCCATCTTTAATTCCCCAGACAGAATGTCCCTAGGGATTTTCATTCCATATTTACCTCAGTACATGTGATGGTAAACAACAGCCATGTGTCATGACTTTCCATGACTTTTCCTACTATCAATTTTAGGCTGGGTGACCTTGACGTCGAGGTCAATTTTAAAAAAATCAACCTCAATGTGGATTCGAACCAACCAACAACAACAAGATCTAACAACACAATGTAGCCAACATTTCTTGTGTACTGTTTTCAGTATTTATTTATGCCAAACAGACCAACCAATGTATCTCTAACTGATTCACCTGAGTTTTTGTTGGATCACGAGAAATGGATGTTTGGATCCTGACGAGTAGTGTTTTACTGGGATCATGAGAACGGGCTTCTGTTCCCTACGGTGCCTAGGCATCCACTACCTGACCACTTACATGTCGAGAGTTGAAACGTTGTCTGTGAGCGAAACGTCTGTTGTTTCCTTGATTGAAATGCTGGCTGCCTGTCATCCATTGAGCGAGGTTTCTTCGAAATCTGGTCAGCAAGACGGAAGTGGGGTCATACAAGTCTTTCTCATCCTTGAGGTCAAATACATCTGGGGAAGAAAAACAACAGCCAACAATAAATACCTTCTTCTTCTTAACTATCACCGGCTGTAAACTCCGTTGGAAATTTCGGCATTTGGGTCCTGCTACAGACCTTGAGTTTTGGGAGCAATCCGTTTTACAGATCTGTTTTTTTATTTATTTATTTTTTAATGCAGAGTGTTGGCTCTTTGCTTATCAGATAGATGTACTCCGGCTTTGAAAGGCTTTTTGAGGTTTTGAACAACTGATCAACATTATGGCAAATGTGGTAGTAACCCGTAAGTGCTCCGTTCTTCTTCTAACTCAAATCTGAGTCCGAAGAAGTTCATCACAATACACAGGCTCTGTAGCACCAGCGAGGATCCTGAAATACTTTGGAAAGATTTTTAACTCTAAATTGTTGTCTGGGCAGCGCCGTTAGGCTTCTCTTTTCAATTTCCAAATACCAAGGTATTTTTAACGTGCACACGGACGTCCGATCTCACTGCCCAGAGACCATAGGGAATTATTACTAGAAATCCAAGTCAAGTGAAAGAATCCCAGCCCTTACCGGGGATTGAACCTGGAACCTCTAGCACTCGAGGCGGACACCATGCCTCGAGACCACTCAGCCCCCTCCGGCTTTGAAACAATCTAATTAGTTGTCTTCTACGACTTGTTTATTGGACAGTGGATCTATTCTCTCCTAGCCCATAACAGGGTTTCAGATCATACACTCGGAAGTCAAAATCTAAACGAGAAGCATATAACACAGCGTTAAATAAAGTCTCTTTAGGTTTAAATCCACATGAGGAATTTTTTCTTTTAATTGACTGTGGCTCAAACGTAGACACTGCTCCTAACTGGTGCCAAGCAGTGGCGAGGCGTGTTCAGTTCCCACATGTAAGCGTTATCAGATAACGATTACAATGGCGATGATATTGTTTGATATTTTCCCCTCATCACTTCGCTATTGAGAGTACGTGCGCAGTTATCATCGTAGTACTTGTACACGTTACAGTTTCTCCTTTAGGAATGTGGGCAAGCAACGAGTAAAGATTCCCTTTTGCGGTTTTTTGTGTGGCTGATCGAGCATGTAGAGCAGGACCTATATAGGTTTTATAGACTTTTTATTGTCCATGCTGTGTGGGCAATCGCTTCTCTTCGTGAGTCAGTTTCTTTCCAGAGATCTTCATTGCTAGTTTTTATCTCTCCAGAGCAAGGGCTGCGTAGTCTTGAGGCATGGTGCCCGCCTCGAGTGCTAGAGGTTCCGGGTTGAATCCCCGGCAAGGGTTGGGATTTTTTCACTTGGACTTCTGGTAATTCCACCTGGTCTCTGGTTAGTGAGATCGGACGCCCGTGTGGATTGTTGCGCACGTAAGAAAGAAATCCTTTGGCAGTTGGAAATCGAAAATAGTAGCCTAACTGCGCTGCCCGGGCAAAATTTAGAGATAAAAATCTACCCACAGTATTTCAGGATCCTCTCCGGTGCTACAGAGCCTGTGCATTATGCTGCGCTTCTTCGTGTGCCATGATGTTGATCCGTTGTTCAAACCTCAAACCTCAGTCTCTCCAGAGTATTCTCACAATGTGTCTATAAAGCCACATCTCTGCCACTTCTACATAGTTTTTCCACTAACCGTCCAACTGTCCATTATTCACTTCGATATATCAGGATCTGGTTTATTTTAGAGACTAATTGGGCGAACAATGCTGTATATCTGATGATCGAACACTCACCACTGACACGCCAGGCAATTGCACTATACACTGTTCCGCCGCAGCTTAAATAAACATAAGAATGTATATTTATACTGTCTGCTTTATAATCTAATATATGTGACTTGTGTGTTAGATTCAACGGGTTACCGTGGCTAAATTGCTCAATAGATCTAACGATGTTTACAATATTTATTTGAATGGTTAGATGAATCTTTCATACGGCTGATGTTTGACTGAATGGTTTAATAAATCTGTCATACTGTTGATGTTTGACTGAATGGTTTAATAAATCTGTCATACTGTTGATGTTTGACTGAATGGTTTAATAAATATGTCATGCTGCTGATGTTTGACTTAATGGTTTAATAAATCTGTCATGCTGCTGATGTTTGACTTAATGGTTTAATAAATCTGTCATGCTGCTGATGTTTGACTGAATGGTTTAATAAATATGTCATGCTGCTGATGTTTGACTGAATGGTTTAATAAATCTGTCATGCTGCTGATGTTTGACTGAATGGTTTAATAAATCTGTCATGCTGCCGATGTTTGACTGAATGGTTTAATAAATCTGTCATGCTGCCGATGTTTGACTGAATGGTCTAATAAATCTGTCATGCTGCTGATGTTTGACTGAATGGTTTAATAAATCTGTCATGCTGCTGATGTTTGACTGAATGGTTTAATAAATATGTCATGCTGCTGATGTTTGACTGAATGGTTTAATAAATATGTCATGCTGCTGATGTTTGACTGAATGGTTTAATAAATCCGTCATGCTGCTGATGTTTGATCAATGGTTAAAAAAATACATGATACTGTTAATTTTCTACTTACTGGTTCGATAAATCTAAATAGTTCAATATTTCATAGTCTGGTTGTTTGACTTAATGGTTCAATAAATATATGATATTGCTGATTTTTAAAATTAATGACTAAAAAAATCAATGAAATTGTGAATTTATTACTTCATGATTCAATAAATCTCTGATATTGCTGATTTTTTTATTTAATGACTTAATATGAGCCTGGTATTTTTGATTTTCTCTTAACTTAATGGTTCAATAAATCTATGATATTGTTGACTTCTTACTTAATCGTTGGATAAATCTTCGATAATGGTGATGTTTAACTTGATGATTCAATAAAAAAAATGATATTTGTAATGTTCCACTTAATGGTTCAATAAATCTATAATATCGACGAATGCATTTTCACAATACTGATAGAGGCATTGCAACTTCAGTGAATTGCTGATACTGGTGGTTGTCTGTCTTACAAAAATAGGAAAGTGTTCGCTTAAGAACAAAGATGGAAACACAACATTAGAGAATCTCCACAAAAGCATCCTGTTTTTTTTTTTTTTTTAGGTTGTTGGGGTTAAAGGGAGCCAGAAAAAGTATTTTCCTTCACATCAGACACGTCTGAAAAGGAAAATCAATCACAGAAAAAGAATCATGTCTACCTACCTTCAGTAATCGGAACAGGCAATTTGGTATCATAGTCCAGTTTCGCAACAGTGACCATGGGTATAGGAGTCACCAGCCGGGTCAAGCAGGAGAAGGTCAAGACGACGAAAATGCATAGTTGTGCTTGATCCATGACTGCAAGTTGTCAACCAATAACACAAATGTATGTTACCGCTGAACTTATATTTGTAGTTTGTATGTGCATGTGGTGTGTGTTGTGTGCACACGTGTAGATGTATATGTGTGTGTGTTGTTGTAGGTGGCGTGTGATGAGCTGTACGTGTGAGTGTTGTCGTCATGTATATATGCGTTACCGGTGTCAACATTTTTGTTGTTTAAAAAGTGTTTCTATGCTATGTTTCTTCTCTCTCACTCTCTCTCTCTCTCTCTCTCTCTCTCTCTCTCTCTCTCTCTCTCTCTCTCTCTCTCTCTCTCTCTCTCTCTCTCTCTCTCTCTCTCTCTCTCTCCCTCTTAAATCCGTTTGTTTATGTCTTGGTGTTTATGTGGCCACACTTTTGTGTGATAATCAAATGCATGTACGTATTTATGATGTATGTGTGTGTTTTCTCCGTCTTTTCAAAAGATTATCCAGGTACCCGTTTTAAGCAATTTGTGTGTCTGTTTATATGAAGATGTCTTGAAAGACACTGGCTCACGAAGGTAACAGGTTGCCCACATCAGAGATAATCTACATTCTCGGTAATGTGATGAGAAGACGAAATCTGGAGTACATCGTGACGGTAGAAAAGTTGGAGTTGGAAGGGAGGTGAGGCAGAGGGAGACCGAGAGAACAGATGCTGGACAGTTTGACATCATGGCATGGCAGATCATCTGTGTCAGAGTTGATTAAAACTACACGAGACAGAAGGTTGTGGATAGACATGACTACCAACGCCATAGGCATAGACTTTAAAAAGAAGAAGAAGAATGTTTTTATGGCCAAACATGTATGTGATAATCAAATGCATTTGTGTGAGTGTATGTGTTTATACAAAAACGCCGCTGGAACTATGTCGGCCACGCCCTTAGAATGGATAAATCAAGACTTCCTTACCAAGCCCTCATTTGGACACCACAGGGGAAAAGATCTCGTGGAAGACCAAGGGAAACCCTACGTAGAATTATCATCAGGGAAGGCTCACTCATGGGCCACTCAAACATCCAAGACCTACAACAGATTGCAACAAACCGCCATGCATGGAGAGTCATGACCTCTGCCCTATGTGCCGCACTTGACACAAGAGGAAAGACTAACTAACTATGTGTTTATATGTGTGTTCTCTCCATCTGTTCCAGAAACATGTCTGGTGCCCATATTTGGCTGGGTAGACCTGGGAGCACTGATCAATTCAAAAATAACATAAAATACAGTGTCTTCTCTCCAACATGTAGTAAAACGAACTGCTCGTAAGTCGTAATTTATGTTTGTCAATACAATTTTTATGTTCAAACAGGTTATAAAAGTTGTATCTAAAACACAAAAATTCAATCTATTGATGTATAATTATTGTACACACTGTGAAAAACACACAAACCAACGTAGATATTATCTATCTTTATTTGCTATTTTATCGATATTTTTGCTCTTAAGTGCTCATGAGGGTCTGTGGCTAAATCGCTTCGTAATGCCGGGATGCCGGTTTCGATCCCAGCTGTGGGCCATGCGCCTTGCGTTGGTTTCGACAGTGGTCTTCTCCTTCTTCTCATCCTCTTCCTCATCCTCCTTTTTTTCTTCCAATTCTTCTTCTTCTTCTTCTTCTTTTCCGCCTTGACCGGCAGTGAATTCCGGCAGAAAGCTTTGATTGTTCGTCCACTTCTTGACTTTGGTCTTGTTTCAGAACCTGAGTGTTGAGAGCACGTCTGTTTTGAAGATCCGGCATTTTTTGTGTGCAGACTGTTGGTACCTTGACTCTCTGGCAGATGCTTGCCAGCTTCGAAGGAAACAAACCTAATTAGTCGCCTTTAACGACATGCTTGTGACAGATAAGAGGGTCTTTTATTCTTTTTTTCTTGAACATTATCCCCAGGAATTTACGCGACGACCGTCTGATCTGTTCGTTACCTTATCAGTTCTTCTGTCTGATCTTTTCTACTGTCTGATCTATTTTACTACCTGATCGACTCTGCTGTCTGATCTATTCTACTGTCTGATCTATTTTACTACCTGATCGACTCTACTGTCTGATCTATTCTACTGTCTGATCTATTCTATTGTCTGATCGACTCTACTGTCTGATCTATTCTGCTGTCTGATCTATTCTACTGTCTGATCTATTCTATTCTGCTGTCTTATCTATTCTAGTATCTGAACTATTCTACTGTCTGATCGACTCTGCTGTATTATCTATTCTACTGTCTGATCTATTCTACTATATGATCTATTCTATTGTCGGATCTATTTTTCTGTATGGTTTATTCTACTCTGTTATTTAATCTGTTTAGGTCTTTTTTCTGTTCTACTGTCTGATCTATACTGTTGTCTGACTTTTTGTGTGTGTTTTTTTTTATTTTTTTTATTACACACAGCCACAATAAGACCACAACTATCTGTCAGCAGCCTAAAGCCATGGATGTTCATGTATTTTTCATAGCAAAAGAAAATAAACGACACAATAAGGAAATAAAAGGAAATAGAATTTGTCCTAGAAGCTGTAACAATTGTGCTCACCGAAACAGTCTCAGAGAATTTTCACAAGTTGTAAACTGAAATTCTTTGCTTGAGTTCTCAGGCAACTTCAGAGGATGAGACAATCTACCATGTGAAAAAACCTAGGTTTAAATACAAGATGTTGATCCAGCGAGACGCAGTTTTCGAACCATTATGGTCTTATACTAGTAATCTCAACTTCTATGCTGACAATTTCAGGTAATCCGTTAATTATTCCGTCAAATATTGTGTGTTTTGTAAATAATATAATCGTTTCAAGTTCTGTCAGTTTCCTTAAAACATGTCGACTTCCCTCCCATTAGCCACGGCAGTGGACTGTGACATGATATATGCGCATAAATTATAGTTGGTGGAATTGCTTCCATTCAAAACTCACACATGGCAAACGATAATTGCGAAGCAATTTTAGTACGGCGCTCAACTGAAGGGAGCTTATTAGATCGTACAGGGAGAAGAACTACTGTAGATTAAATATGATCCTAAGATAGAATATAAATTACATACAAATGTCTCAAATTCAGACTTTGTATCGCCAGTGTCATAATAGTATTATTATTTTTAATGTTGCTAATTACTCTTGGATAACAGCCACGAATCTATGCGTCTGTGAGTGTCTGTGTATGTGAGTGTGAGTGTGTGCGCGCGCTTGTATGTATGTATGTATATAATGTATGTATGAATGTTTGTGAAATCGTTCGTATGCATGCATGCGTGTATGTATATAAGTATGAATGTATGCACGCATGTACGCATGTGTGTGTGTGTGTGTGTATGGGTGGGTGGGTGTGTGAATTTACGTATGTTTGAGGGGACTGGTGATTGGGTGGGTGGGTGTGTGAATTAACGTATGTTTGAGGGGGACTGGTGAATGGGTGGGTGTGTGAATTTACGTATGTTTGAGGGGGACTAGTGAATGGGTGGGTGGCTGCATGCATTCATGGCTGGATAAATGGTGGATTGGGTGAATAGATATATGGATGGATGAATGGATGGATAGACGGATGGACGGTTGAATTGATGGATGGATGGTGAATGAAAGCTTGACTATTATATTGTTGCTTTATGGTTCAGATTAGGTTTTAATGTTCCAAAACGTTCCTTGTACACTCATATTGCACCAAGTCTTCTTTTTTTTTCCTCTTTTTATTTTTCTTCTTCTTCTTCTTCTTCTTCTTCTTCTTCTTCTTCTTCTTCTTCTTCTTCTTCTTCTTCTTCTTCTTCTTCTTCTTCTTCTTCTTCTTCTTCTTTTTCTTCTTCTTCTTCTTCTTCTTCTTCTTCTTCTTCTTCTTCTTCTTTTCCTTCTTTCTTCTCCTTCTTCTTCGTCTTCGTCGTCATCATCATCATATTCTGCTTTTCAAATGTCGGTTATCATGATGTGTTGTGGTTTGCAGTTAGACTGTGATATCTGCACTTTTCGGCCCAACATATCCCTGCTACATGTTGTTATAGATTAGACGTATCGATTCTTCTTCTTCTTCTCTTTTTTTCTTTGCGTTCACCGGCTGTAAACTCTAGCGGAAAGGTCTGATTGTTCATCCACTTCTGGACTGTAGTCCTGTTCCAGAACCTGAGTGTTGCGTGTGAATCCGTTTCACAGATCTGACTCGTTTGTATGCAGACTGCATGCTCCTTGCCTCTCAGACAGTTGCACTTCAACTTCGAAGGAAGCTCCCAGTTAGTCGACTCTTAAAAGTACAAAAAAATGTAAAGGACCCTTTTCCACGCCTTTAGGCGTATAGGGCATATAGGGCTAGACCTATGTTTTATGGACCAATTGGCACATCCTGGGATTGCACCCGGTACCTACTCAAGGCAGGGTCGACCTAGGAGTCAAGGTTATTTTTGAAAACAGTCCGGCTCCGCCAGGAAGCGAGCGCACGACTTTCCGATCCGCGGCGAGCGTCTAGCCGCTCCGGCACGGCGACTCCCAGTCGACTCTTACGACATGCTTTTGGGTAGGCAGGAGGTCTATTCTTGTTTTCCCTATAATAGTGCCCCGGAACCCACACAGGGAGATTGTACTTTTGAATGCTACCATCTTAAACAACTGAGCATCATTTGTTGTCAATCTTCATGATTTCCCTCTTCAGATCACGTGAGGGGGGGGGGGGGGAGAGACCCCCACTGCCCCAAACAAACGTGTCGTAAAAGGCGACTAATTAGAGGCGGTCTTTAAAAGTCGGAGTGCATCTATATGAGAGGCCAAAAACCAACAGTCTGCATACCAACAGGCCATTTCAGTAAAACGGATGTGCAAGCAAAACTCAAATTCCGAAATTATATCAAACCTAGAAATGGGCGAACAACCAGAACTTACAGTCGGAGTTTACAGCCCGTAAACACTAAGAAATAGGAGAAGTAGAGATCACGCAACCGATTAGTCTCGTTTGTTTACTTCCCTATAGCTGATAGGTACATGCATGATACAGGAATTGAGGATTCAAAGGAAAAGAATGCCAGGACCA